AAAAAAAAAAAAAAAAAAAAAAAAAAAATCAAGGTGAGAGGGAAAAAGAAGTGGGAGAGAGACAGAGATGCAGAAGACTTGGACTAAGGTGAGCGACACTTCCTAACAGCTTAGACCTCAGAAGCTAGAAGAAGTCTAGGGTGCAGGATGGAGAAGCAGCTGCTAAAAGCAGCCAGGGCAGGGACGTGCGGGGTGTGGGGCCTCCACCCTGAGCATGAGAGCCACTCATAGCACAGGAACCAGCCCTCCTGAGATCTCAGTTTACTGTTTGTCAAGAGTCCTAGCTCACTGTCTGTTTTTATCAGTATGTTTGGCACTCTGCTCTGTCTCAAGCAGTTCCAGCCAGCTGCCTTACTCACAAACAACTAAATAAATGCTTTTCTACATCAGGGGGAAGGTGGGCTGAGCAGTGTGTTAGTTTTCTGTTACTGTAACAAAATACCTGACATAATCAACTTGAAAGGAGGAGAGGCTTACAATGTCAGAAGTTTCAGTCTGTGGCAGGTTGACTCATGGCTTCTGGAACTGTGTCATGTGGAACATCCTGATGGGAATGTGTGACAGAACAAACCACTCACATGGTCAGGGGACAAGACAGAGAGATACAGCAGAGGGAGCAGGGCCCTAACATCTCCTTCAAGGCCAGGGCCCAGGACCAGGCGCCCTTCTAGTAGCCCCCATCTCTGAATGGAAAACATAACTTCCAACCTGCTAGATGTCCAATACATGGAGTCCGTGTTCCCCAAAACTAAAGAATGAATTCGAAGGAACCACAGAGACTAAGAATAGGAAATATTTATTGAAAGCTATATCTCCCGACAGACAGGAGGGGGCCCGAGTGGGTTGCTGTGGACCCCACTTTCCAAAGGCAGTTTTATGCAGCAAAATCACAAGATGGCTACAAGACAGGACAAAACTATGACCTACCAGTAAGAGGGCAAGTCGAGCCGCTTAGGCAGTGCTGGTCTGATGGGGAAGCAGGCATGCAGCAAGGGTACTGTTAGAACAAGGACCTTCCTTAGAGGAGATGAGTCAGGAGGTCCTGGTCACCCCCCGGGTGACTGATGACTATCCAGACATTATTGGACCAGCTGATACCAATTCTTGTATATTGCTTACCCCTTGGGGAGGCGGGGAGGCCTGGTCATTCCATCTTTATCTTCAGGCCTGGCCTTTGATGGATGCACCTCCTGCCACAGTTGCGCTATGTTCTCATCCTGTGTGCTGACTCCCGCAAGGGCCTGGTCCTGTCTGACTGCCTAGAACATTTCCGCCTAACCAGCTGTCTATAACGGCACTGCGGCCCACCTCACCTGGGCCTTCCCCGGCCACCAGGACCCACAGGAGCACAGGCTAGAAGCTGTGGGCTTCCTCAGGGCCCAATTGGAGAATGCCCTCCAGTTACCCTGCCCCTTGGTCTCTCCAGGCGCTGTTCTGTTCCCCATCAGGCCCGTCTTCTCCCTCCAGAGAGGGCACTGTGGGCCAGGAGGAAAGGATTTGGGTAGCCTGTACTGCCCTGGCTTGGATCCTGGCTCTGTTAATTGCTTGTTAATTGTTTTGCTTAGGTTGTTTCATCTCGAGGGTGTCCATTTTCTCATCTCTAAAATGAGACAATTCTCCCTACCTTACAAAACACTGTGTGTATTCAAAGCAGGAGGCATGGCCCAGGGACCTTCTCCAGGTGCCCAGTGGCCATAGGAATCAGTGGTTTGTCCCAAAGACCTGGGGCGACTGTAGAGAAGGACCAAGGCCTGTGAAAGCTGCCACAGTGGGGAGAGAAAGCAAGGGCAGTGGCGTGGAGAGTGGGTTCCCATGCTTCTGGACAGCAGGGAGGGCGGAGAGTCCAACGGGAGCGTGGCCACTCCCAGCTGGGTAACTACAACCACCTGGGTGAGCTGAGGTTAGCGTCCGAAGAGAGAGCGCCCAGTCCTCCCAGCTCTGCTGGGTGGTGAGGAGTTGTTCCATGCCTGCCTCGCTTCCCAGATCCAGGTCCCCTCCGATTCTGGGCTTGATAAGAAGGGATTGAGTATCTGTTCCTCTCTGGACTCAAGCCAAAATTTGTCTTTGTTCCAAGTCTGTGGCTACTTCTATCATTGGTCCAAATTAGAAAGCATGATATCAGGTGATAATCAGGCTCTCTTTGCCTCAGAAAAAGTGACACAGAGATAAGGAGTCTTTCCTGACCTACAGTTTTCAAAGATTACAAGCACTGGTTGAAAAATATGGTGAATGTTTAATTGTTTCAAAAATTGCAGTAAAAGACACATTGATAAATGTGCTTAAAGTCGGGGGGATATTTTGAGTATTTTGAAGGGGATTAATGACAGTATGTGTTTTTAACTGTAATTTTTTAATTTAAACATTCACCTTATTTGTATTCACCTCACATTCATCAACCATTTGTGGCAATTCCTGTCAAATAAAAACATTACTGTATGCCTTAATCCACCTTATTGACCATATCTGGCACTGTGCAGCCTCCATCTCTTTCCCAAAGTCAAAATGATCGGAAAGATAAACATGGTGAATCGGGTTAAACATCAAGGCGGCCACCAGCACAGGACTAAAGACACTCATGAAAGAGGACTTCCGGAACTGCTTCAGAAAGTGGTGAGAGCTTGATTGATCAATACTGCATGTCTGTATTTGTTTTCATGAGAAACCACTTTGAAGATATCAGTATGTAATACAACAAGCATTGTTAATCTCCTACCACTTTGTAACTCTGTATTGTCTGTACTGTTCTTTTGCTATTTTGTAAAAGGTTGTCTGTTAATGTTGTCCTCCTTTAAAAAAAAAAAAAAAAAAGAAAGCATGATAATTTGGAAAGAACAGGATATGGTCAAAATATATACATCAAAAGCCAGTATTCTCTACAATGAATAGGCACCAAGAAAAATAAGGTTAGAAACAAATAGCACAATGAGAGTGTTCACTTGCTTAATCAATTTTATGAAGTATTAAGATTATCATGTGTGAGAAATAACACAACTCTGAAGTGGTTTCAGAAACAGACACCAAATGCCTAACCTATGTAACATGAAATGCTTGCATTACCAGGCACTTCCATGAATTTTTTGCACACTAAGAAAAATATATACAGTTTTTATTTCTCTGGGGGAAGAAGCAAGCCATCATCATCATCATCATCATCATCATCATCATCACCACTGCCGCAGAGCCCAGTGAGGAGGACTAGGTGTGCCCAGTGTTCAAGATTTGGTTCTGGAAGAATTGCCCAGGAGACTGTTCTGCTCTTGACTGCAGAGGGAGAGGGTGGGGTGTGAGCTCAGAGAATCTCAGCTTGGCCAGACCCGCTCTGAGCAGGAAAGACCTCAGCTCCTCTCAGTTCCCCCTCATTATTCTGAAATGCAGTTCACTTTAGAGATGCAAATAGTGCAGATGTCTGACACTGAAACTGTGTCTTTCCAGGAATAACTCCTAAGGCTGTGGGTGTCCAAGGAGTCGGGACTGCAAATGGGCTTGGCAGAGTGGAAAGTACTGAAGGAACATTCACTCTCCTTTTTGTTGTACTGCTGGGGTTACCTTTTCTTCCTTTTTCTTTGTCTTTTTCTTTTTTTTTTTTTGAGACAGGGTCTTGCTAAACCTGAAAATTTCCTAGATTGGGCTTGAAGTTGCCACCCTTCTGCTTCAGCCCCCTAGAGTTTTGGGATTACAGGCCTGGTTGAACTTTCACTTTTACAATAACAATGCTGAGTCCAAAATAGCTCAGGGCCCCTAGAAGGAGGCTATGGGGGAAAAAGGAAAAAAAAAAAAAAAAGATTGTACAGGATTCCATTTCTTTGAGCAAAGCAGACATAATCTTGGTCTTTGACCTGCTTCTATTCCTCATTCCCTTACCCCATCGTATTCTCTGAGCCCCTGTTATTACCCAGTCTTAACGCTGAACTGCCTGCAGGATTTCTACCCCACTCTGCCCTTGATTAGCTTTGAGGACCAGATACCTGTAGCCCAGAGTCCCCTCTTACGAAGGCTGAGCCCGAACCGACTAGATGGACCTACAGTGGCTGTTGGAGTGACACTGACAACCTGTAACCCCATTACACTGCCATCTGCGTGCTAGACGAAACTCCCAGCACCCGACAGTTGGCAACTGCTGAGACAATGAACTGCAAGAAGGGTAATGGAGAAGAAAGAGGTGATGCCTCAAGCCCTCCCCCTTTCTATGGTGGTACTGCACTTACGACTGAACCCAGGGCCTTTGCACTGAGCTACACACCTAGCCTTTTTTGTTTTACTTATTATTTTTTGAGACAGGGTCTCGACACATTGCTACATTGCGCAGGATGGGCTTGAATTTGTGGTCCTCCTGCTTCAGCCTCAAAGAGTGCCGGAATTACGGATGTGTGACAGCATGCCGGGTCTTCCTCCCTTTATCAGCCTGTTCCTCCCCATCATTTCTTTTCCCCTATAACTATAACCCCTTGGCCCCTAGTGGGTTGCAAAGTTGATGGGGGGGGGGGAGTTGGGACAGTGTCTTGCTATGTAGTGCATGCTGGCCTTTAACTCATTATGTAGCTCAGGCTGGCCTCAAACTCACAGAAATCTTCCTGCCTCAGCCTCCAGAGTGCTGGGACTGCAGGTATGTGCCACCACACCCAGCTCAAGAAACTAGCTTTAATCTGACACCTCCCCTAGTCTTGGCTGAGAACATAAGTCTTCTCCTCTACTTAGTGGGTCTTCAGTCTTTTTATAGGTTCCACAATTCCAGGAGAGGAAAAGGACCAGTTTGGGGCGAGGATATGGCAGCACTCTAAGAGTGCCCACATGCTGGCTTAGCCGAGGACATCACCGCTGCACAGTCAAAGAAAAGACCTGCACCCTCAACAGGAGA